ATAGAAAAAGGATTGATTTAGAATTGACAGTCTATTATAGAAAAAGGATTGTAATTCTTTGATTTAGAATTGACAATCTATTATAGAATAAGTAGCTGCGCAACGCAGTTGCGCAAAAACCAGGAACGGGGAAGTAATAAATACACTTCAGACATGCACATGATTTAACCATTGTAATTCTTTAATTTAGAGTTGACAATCTATTATAGAAAAAGGATTGATTTAGAATTGACAGTTTATTATCAGTCACACGATTTGTCACACTTTTTTAACCCCTTAATAATATTTTTTGTCGGAATAACTATGATCATTTCCATTTGTATATGTATTTGGAATCAGCCAGGGTGACCACCACTTTTGCGGGTCCCCTGATCCGCGCCACAGCCGCAGGAACCTCACCGCAGCAACAGGACCAATCAAATAGAAGTCACGGGACATTCTCAGATAATCAATTTTTTTTTTTTTTTTATATTCAATGTACGGTAACAGGTAAAGGTGCACGCTCAACTTAAAGAACGTTTAAAATACTTTGAGGATTCTCTTTTACAGATAACTGAATCTATTTTTCTTACTCTTTTTATTATTTATAATTAAACGACTTGGGTATCATAGGTGTAGTAAAAGCTATAAGTAACGAGTAACTCTTAATTTACATTTATTACATTCGGTAAGTTACATTATATATTAATTTATTAGTTATTCGACAATATATAGACTAATTATTATACAGCAATTACTCATCGCCTTCAATAATAATTAATTCTGACGTATCATTAATTGTTACGTTCTCTTTTGCATCTGATTCATCTGAGAGTGGTAAGTACATCAAGTATGGTTTTCTACTCTCTGGGTCCCAAGTAGTTAATCGATGCCTCTTATGTTCTACAGATTGTATTTCTTTTTCCATCTGTGCTAATCTACTCCAATCTATTATAGTTCAGAGGTGATGCCAATTATTAGATAATTGAGCAGTATGCATTCGCTTTATCACTTGTTCAACTAAAAGTCACTTTGCTTCAATGTAAGCACAGATATCTTCTTCTGGGCCTTCATCAAGATCAATACTCTCGATAACTTCAATAGATGTAGTAGCTGTTACGGGCAATGGATTTTCTATTGCTTCATCAGCATTAAAATTTTTAATAACAAGAAAAGAGGGTAAAGTCCAATGTTCAAAATTATCTCTAAGTAGCCGTTGTTGTATACTGTCAGGCATATTTACTATCTGTTGAACTAAGTGCTTGCATATTAGAAAGCGATTTCTAACAAAAGTTAGGCAACTACAGATCTAGTAAGAAATCTCAGTGAAATATAGACTAACTGAGTTAGCTGCATCAGAAATCGTTCGTATTTCAGTATGTTTTCTCTTGCCTTTTTTATGTTTATTTGCACATATTTCTGCTCTTTTTTTTTTATTTGCACCTGCATATATCTATTCTCTTTTAAAATCTTCCTACTAATATGAGTTCACAGTGCTATTCAGAAGCTGCAAAAGTCAATCCTTTTGTGATAGTATTACTTCTTTGAACAGTATCCAAAACAGAAGATCTAACCTAAGGCTATTAAACCAGTGCAGGTAAAGGTATTTGATAACTCTCTAGTAGGCTTCGATCTTCATAGTTGTCTTACTTAGAGGTATAGTAGATTTGACAGATCGAGCCTACAGGTATTACTGACTAGGGAAGTACCAATTTGTCTAAAGATATGACTATAATAGTCATAGCTTATTTTTTTCGCAAAATTAGTATATTTCACATACAGCACTTCTTCTGATATCAGCTGGTGATATTGTATTTCCTTAAATATCAATGGGTATTAAGGGGTACATATCAAAGTGCTTTTTCACCAGCTTAAAACTAGCTCTTGGAACTCTATTAGACAAACAACGTAAGTTTTTGAGTTATGATCTTAATCTGTAGGATAGAATTCAGGATCAATAAAATTGAATTCGTCCATTACCTGAGTAACATTGTAAGTTATAGATATTAGTTCTGTACTTCTTGGCTTGGGTTTTTCTTTTAGCTTTAGTTTAATAGCTCTATCCATATACCATATGCAAAGCTGAACGACTATGGGTCTCCATACCATTGTTACTGCATTAATTTTTCTAAAATCTTTATCTGTGAATACAAAATTCAGTTCGATGCTACACTTTTTCATTTTCTAAAAAAGTTTTTTAGGATCTTGTAGCGCTTTCTTATATTAGTATTCATATTCGCTATCTTAGATATATCAAGTATTAAATATGCTATTGTAAATCTGGCACCTTCTATATTAGTTACTACACCAAAAAGCTTGTAACTCCTTGTAGTTCTATATATTGAATCTATGTAAATTTTATTGATATTAAGCTTTTTATCCTCAAACATACACAATATCAGAGTGGTAAAGCTGATAGCAACTAACTCTGAATTGTGTATATATAAGCACTGGTGAAAGCCTTGATTAATATTTTCTGCAAATAATCTGCATGCTGATTCAATCTAGTTATTATGATACTAAAATATGCTGCGATTTGCTATAGACTTCTAGTAGTATATACATTTATAAAAAAACTTTGAAATATTAAACTCCTGGCACCGCAAGTAGTTTATTAACTCTACTGTAGTGAGATATACATATAATTTGATTTATTCTTGCAAATAATCAGGCATCTCAGTACAAAAGTCTAGTTGTGTATAGAGAGATTTATGGTAGATACTTACTGCTACAATACCAAGGGTAATATTGACATTGACTACAATTGTTCCTTTACAATTATAGTATATAAGCATTTCTGATTAGAGTCCTTATAGTCCTTATTTTGCACTTCTATTAATTAGCAACATACAAAGGTAAAACTACCAACTGTGTCAACAAATTTTTTTTTTTTTAAAAATTCAGCAGTCATACCATAACTTTATTTAGATTTGTTTTCTAATTGAAAACAGCATTAATTAGCTATATACTATCTAATGTCTAATTTTTT